ATGTTATAAATATGGTATGAAGAGACATTGGTCACGTATCTATTGTATGCCAAAGCACCTAGTTAAGCTTTATCAAGTCTCGTTGAAAAAAAGTGATATAAAGGCAAATTTTATATATCAAAATAATGATTATAACAATATTCCTCTTGAAGGTTTCGGTAATTTGACGCGAGTTAGATATTACTCGTTTTTTAAAAGATTCTAAAAAAAAAAAAGATCATTAGATTAATGATAATTATTGAAATTAATATCTTGTTATCTTTTCTATTGATAACTAAAGAAATTTATGTTTCCTTATAATTTTTATTATATCATGATAGTTACAATTTACATATAAATGCATATATGTGTGTGTGTTTGTTTGTTTGTTTTGTTTTATGAAGAATATATGGATACTATTAAATTCACAATTAGTTTAAACATTATAAATGAAAATTTATGCCTTATAGATAGTGCAACTACACATACTATACTTAAAAATAAAAGGTATTTTTCCAATTTAATGATAGGCAAGGCTAATGTTAACACTATATATAGTAATGTCAATTTAATTGAAGGCTTTGAAAGAGCAAATATATTATTACCTAGAGGGACAAATTTGATTATAAATGATGCATTATTCTCTCCTAAGTCCCATGAAAATTTGTTGAGTTTTAAAAATATTCATCTAAATGGATATCATATTGAGACAACAAATGTTAAGAATATCGAATTCTTTACATCGGGTAGAAAATATGTATTGATAAATTTACTTGCTTTCTCTTCTAGCATTTATTACACAAATATTCAAATGATTGAAACAAATGTCACGGTAAATCGAAGTTTATTAATTCTTTTATTTTATGGCATGACCAATTGGGCCATTCTAGATTCATTATGATGTAAAAAATTATTAAAAATTTGTATGAACATCCATTGAAGAACTAGAAGATTCTTCAATCTAATTAGTTTTCATATCCTATATTATCTCAAAGCAAACTTGTTATTAAGGCATCACTAAATAAAATTAGGATTGACTCTCTAGCATTTTTAGAATATATTCAAAGTGATATATGTGGATCAATTCATCCACCATGTAGATTATTTAAATATTTTATAGTTTTATAGATGCATCTACAAGATGATCATGTGTATGCTTATTACCAACTTGAAACTTAGCATTTTTTAGGTTACTTACTCAAATAATTCGATTACGAGCATAATTTCATATTGTACCATAAAAATAATTCGTCTTTAACTTTAATCATTATTGCATGTCTATTGGAATAAAGTTTGAACGACTCTATTGCTTATGCTCATCCTTGTAATAATTTAGCAAAATCATTTATCAAAAGCTTCCAATTGATAGCTAGATCATTACTTATGAAAATCAAACTTTCTGTTTATGTTTGGGGATATGCAATTTTACATGCGGTAACACTTATTCATATCGAACCTATAAGTTATCGAAAAATTCTTGCCCCTTCAATTGGTTTCTAATCATGAGCCTAATATTTCTCGTTTAAAGATTTTTAGATATACGAGTATATGTCTCAATTACTCCTCCATGACGAACTAAAATGGGTCATCGGAGGAGATTGAGAATATATATTGGATATAAATCTTTTTCTATAATTAAATATTTTAAACCATTAATAAAAAATAATTTCATGGCTTGATTTACCTATTGTCATTTTGATAAAATAATTTTTTCAGTATTAGGGGACAGAATAAACGGAATAAGTAGTTAAAAATATTGAAAAAAGAAATAACATGGAATACTTCATCTTTATATCATCTTGATCCTCGTACAAAACAATATGAACTTAAAGTTTAAAGAATAATTCATTTTCAAAGTCCGCAAACCAACTCGTCGGATGTTTTCTCTTATCTAAAGAGAGTAACTAAATCATATGTTTTAGTTGAAAATGCTCCTATTAGAATTAATGTCTCGGTAAGACAACTATTAATGTTATAACAAATAAATCTAAAGCAAACCTAAAGCATGAAAGACCAATCGGTTCTAAAGATAAAAATCTTCAAAAGAAAAAAAGAAAAAATAATCAAGATGAAAATATAAATGAGGCGAGATAAAAAGGTCTAAGATACTTCTAATAATAGGCTTCAGAAGAAGCCCAAATGCTCGAGAAAAATAAAAAAATTTCGATAAATTATGTTAATGTAAGGAGAAAATGGGATCAAAAAGAGACATTCATTGATAATATTTTTTCATATAATTTTGTAATTGATATTTTAAATAAGGATCTTGAGCTTAAATCTATTAAAAAATATTGATATAGAAATGATTGGCCTAAATGGAAAGATGTAATATAGGAAGAATTAAAATCTCTCACGTAACAAGCAGCTTTTGGACCCATAGTTAAAACACCCGAAGATGTTAAGCCAATACGATGCAAATGGGTATTTATACGAAAACGAAATGAAAAGGATGAAATTGTGAGATACAAAGCAAGACTTGTAGCACAATGGTTTTCATAAAAACTCGACATTGACTATGAGGAGACATATTCTCTTGTAATGGATGCAATTATATTTTATTATCTTATTAGCTTGACAACATATGAAAAACTTCATATGCATTTAATGGATGTGAGCACAACCTATTTATATGATTCACTTGATAATGATATCTATATGAAAGTTCTAGAAGGACTTAAAATGCTTGAAGTATGTAAAATACATTCTCAAGATATGTATTTAATTAAATTATAAAGATCTCTAAATGGATTGAAAAAATTTAGACGCATGTGGTATAATCATCTTACCGAGTATTTGTTGAAAGAATGTTGTAAAAATAACCTCATTTGCCTATGTGTCTTTATAAAAAAAATTCAAAAAGAAGTTTGTGATAATTATTGTATTTTTTGATGATTTAAATATAATTGGAACTCTTGAAGAGATTTTAAATGCCATAAGTTATTTAAAAAGAAAATTTGATATGAAATACTTTGAAAAAACAAAATTTCGTCTCTCGTTTGTAGTTCGAACACTTAGAGGATGAAATTTTTATTCATTAGTCAACATATATAAAAAAAGTACTACAACGATTCTATATGGATAAGACTCATTTATTGATTAGTCCAATGATAGCTCATTCACTTGATGTCCAATAGGATCCTTTTTGGTCTCGAGAAGATAACGAAGAACTTCTTGATCCCGAAGTACCATACTTAGTGCAATTGATGCATTAATATATCTTGCTAATAATACCCAACTTGATATAATATTTTTTTGTAATTTTATTAGCAAAATATAGTTCTACTCTAATACAAAGATATTGGAATGGAATTAAACATATACTACTTTATTACCGAGGAATAATTGACATGGACATATATTACTCCAATAAATCAAAGACAACATCAATTAGTTATGTAGATGCATGTTATTTATCTCATCCATACAAAGTTCGATTATAAACTAGTTATGTATTTACATATAGAGATACAACTATATCATAACGTTCTATGAAATAAACTATAGCTACCACATCTTTAAATTATGTAGAAATATTAGCAATTCATAAGGCAAGTCGAGAATGTATTTGGTTAAGATCAATGACCTATCATATTCGAGACATGAGATTTATCCACTAGCAAGAAAGTTTTGATACTCGTTTGTATAACTCAATTAATAGAAGGATATATCAAAGGTGACACAATGAAACATATATAACTAAAATTATTTTTCACACATAATCTTCAATTGAATGGTGATATTACGTTCAACAAATTTGATCAAATGACAATCCAACAGATTTATTTACTAAGGTATTATTTATTATAACTTCGAGAAGATGATTCACAAGATTGAGATGCGTCATCTTAGAGATTTTTAAAAATGTTTTCGATAAGGGGAGGCCAATATAGAAATTAATGTGTACGAGGAATATTGTACTCATTTTTCTTTATAAGGATTTTTTTTCCACTTGGGTTTTTTCTAGAAATATTTTAATGAGACATGTTTCTTATACAATCGACATTTAAGGGGAGTGTTATGAAATAATGAATATCCATATAAATGTTTATATGCTTTTCATATCCCCACTACTCACAATTCTTAATGTGATTTAATTCATCATTTAATATGAGAGATTGAAAGGTTGATGCAATTGATTCAATAATTTATATACTTTTAATTATTCATAATTCTTTCAAACTCTCTTTCCAATTTTAAAGCCTATAAATAAGCTTGATTATTCATTGGTTTGTGTATAAGTATTTTGGAGAGAGCTTAAGAGAATAATTTGAAGTTTTTTATCACTTGTATTCACTTTATTTTATAGTAAATTCATTTTCTTATTATCTTTCTCTTCAATTCTCTTATTGTTTTTATTTCTTTTATAACAATTTTTTTATTTTTTTTATTTTTTTAAAACAAATTAGAAAATATCATAAAAAGAAAAACAAAGACTAAATAATTGATTTTTAAAACAAGATGGACTAACTAAATTATATTTCCAAACTGAAGGGACTAATGGATTATTTACACAATTAAACCCTGCATTGCGGCCGTTAGCGACTTTTTAACAGGTTTGATTATTTGCACAATATTAAAAACCCTCGTCTGCTCTCTCAGTCCGTCGTCCTCCCAAAGCACCGCCGCGAAACTCCTCTATCTCGTCTGCTGTCTCCTCCGCTGCCGTCCTCTCTACCAAGCCCATTAACCCCTCGCGCCGTTCTCTCTCCCAAGCCCAGCACTAAATCATATCCATCCAATTTGAATTTAATGATTGATGTAATGAACATGACGGTCATGTTCATAAGGGAACACGATCGGATTTGAATAAACCGTAAAACCTTTTCTTTTGATAAATAAACCGCAAAACCCTTTGTTTTAGTCAGCAAAAAGAATAAATAATCTCTCTCACTTGACAAACCTAAAACGCTACACGCTCTCCTCTTCGTAAGTCAGTCCCCTACTCTTCACTCTTTACTATTCACAACGCCACAAATTCATTTGTGTAATAATTCTATATGCAGTGTGTTTGATTAGAAGAGATGCAGCAGCAGCAGCAGCAAAGACCTCAAGACATAATTTACACGAAGCAGCCTTATATCGAGGATGTCGGTCCACGCAGAATGTCAGTGCTTTTCTCATTTTACCAATTAAAAAATGATTTTATGTTGTTTTAATTTTTAATAATTTCTAATCTGATATACAGTAAAAGTATTCAATTCTCGACTATGTCTGTATCGGATATTCTGAAAGCCTCTGAATGCCAAGTCCATTTAGGGCAATATTATGACTCCAATAAAAAGGCGATTGAAGGCGGTCTGTTAGATACCCGCATGGTAATTTCCTTTTTCTTCTTACTTTTTTTTGGAGGGTTTTTCTGTTTCTTTGATAGGGGAGCTTTTTTCTGTTAACAAAGAAGTAGTGAATTTGTTTTATTTTATTTCATCAGGGTGCTCCAAATAAACATGGTACCTGTCAAACTTGTGGTGGATCCTTTACAGATTGTCCAGGACACTTTGGATACTTGAACCTTGTTTTGCCAGTTTACAATGTGGGATATTTGAGTACTATTTTGGACATTCTAAAGTGTATTTGTAAGGTAATTGTGCGCCACTGCTTATCCCTTTCTTTACTATATATTTCATTTTTTCATAACTTGTTTTCTTCAGAGCGTGAGTGTCTCTATCTGGGTTAGGTTTATTTATTTATGGATATACACTTCAGCGGTGATGGGTAATTGAATGGTCAAGCCACCTATCAGATGGGGTCAACAAATCTGCACTTACATAGTTTATCTTGCTGTATCAGATGAGTTTATGATTGAGAGCTGCTACTTATTTTGCTGATTATATTGCTTCTGAGTGCCTAATTTTCTTTGTAGTCTTGTTCTCGCATACTTTTGGATGAGAAATTACATAAAAGATATTTAAAAAGGATGAGAAGTCCCCGGACCGAGCCTCTGAAGAAGAATGAGCTTATGAAGGAGATTGTAAAGAAATGCAGTAGCATGGCAAGCAGTAAAGCAGTGAAGTGTGTGAGATGCGGATATATGAATGGTTTGGCTTCTGCCTTTCTCGTGACTAATTATATACTTGGATGACTGGCTGGTTTCAACACGAACATGATGAAACTTGTTTTCAGCTGCACTAGTAGCCATATAAGGTTGTTATATGAGCATTACAAGTTGACATATACCCACACTCACTGCAATGGACGATCCCATATAATAATCCATAAAAGATGACAAGAATTACTGAAAGAAAGGATATCACTGCTAATCATGCATTTGGGCTGCATATGAAAATGCTTTTCAAAGTGCATGTCTTCATATAAAAGACATCCAAAAGCACTCCAAAAAGCATCAACTTGATGCCTTTTCAGCCGAACGGCACTTTTGGAAAAGCACTTGAATTGCATTACCAAACACACGCTTAATCATCAAAGTTTTGTTTATTCACTGACCAGTGTTAGTTGAGGATAAACAGTTTGTCCTTTTAATCGAAAATATGCCTAGCTATTTTAAATAGGGATTGCCTTTATCTAATTTGTAACGACATCATAAAATAAGGGGATTGGAAGGAATCTGTTGGTTTTACATGCCCTCACATATTTGTCGTGCCTGTCCAACAGATGTTCGAAGAAGAGACAGGAATGTGTTTGAATTATTGTTTATGATCCTTATTTTTTTTCTTTCTCAATTTTTATCATATTTGATCACATTGCAGAGCAAGATTTAATATATTCTTGTTCACTTGAGAGCACATTTTTCCAGGTGGTGCATGACTATTAAAAGGAAACTATTCTCAAGCTATTTTCTAATGTGTCAAATGTCTTGCTTTGGGTGTTACAGCTTTTGGGAAATTCAGCCTAGGTGCTGTTAATTTGACGTTATGTAGTTTTCAGGTATGGTAAAGAAGAATCCGTCTTTCGTGAGCATCATTCATGATCGCTCAAAATTGAGTGATGGATATTTGGAAGAATGTAAATCTGCAATTGAACACACAAGAGAGGCTAGGGCGCCTATTGGTATGGCTACTTATGTTCTCAACCCTGCCAGAGTGCTATCTCTTTTTAAAAGGATTGTGGAAGAGGTATAGTTTATTATCACTGAGAATTTGTGTGTAAATTCATGTGTTGCTCTTATTTGCCTTTGACTAATGTAAAATGTACTCTATTTTCTTGTTTCACAGGATTGTGAATTGCTTTACTTACAAGATAGACCTGAGAAACTCATTATAACAACTATTGCCGTGCCACCTATATCTATCCGACCTTCTGTTTTTACGGAAGGATCTCAGAGGTTTTTTCAATAATTATTTTCGGAGCATTCATTTTAAGTTGCTTGTGGCAGTTCTTCCTTACTGAAGTTTAAATATTCTTCTGTTCCTATTTCAGCAATGAAAATGACATTACGGAGAGGTTGAAGCAAATTATTCAATACAATGCCAAACTTCGTCTTGAGTTACTGGAAGGAAGAAGGATTGGGACCAAATATCTGGTATTGTAGAGGATTTTGAATTTGTTAGTTTAAACCCTTCAGATATAATTGAATGTTGAATGCTGTGACATGGTGGTCAATATAAGTGTTTTCCTTGATATGGGCACAGTTTATGTTAATCCACTTGAATGAATCTTGTATTCACTTCCCACTGCATTTTGGATGGTAAATGAACTTTTGCATGATTGTAGTTAGAAACTTATGATGACCAGCTTCCGCTCCTTTTTCTCTTACTTCCCTTGTATCCCATTAAAAAAAGGGGAAAAACGTAAGATCATTCTTTCAGTTCATCTGCAGGCATAGTTTAGGGAGAAAAACAGCAGACAGCAGAATTCACGTAAAAACAAGTAGAAAAAAAGTTGGAATTGAGTATGGAAATTGGGGTTTAAGAAAACATCCAGTTTCTGAAGTTCATTGATGAAAATGATATACAATGGCTCTGAATCTGTTGTACAGCTTATTTATACTTGGGTGACAATAAAAAACTGCAGCCTTAGATTAAACTCCTAAAGGAAGCTTCTAATCCTTGACATCCAAATATTTTAAAAGTCAAATGGGAATATGGCTTCTAGCTAATAAAATAAAACAGAATTACTAATTAATAAAATAACTATAATAAAGCTCGTACTTTAGGAGGCATGATGTGGGTTATAGATGTTTACAAAGATTGCTTGTTTTATTAATGTTCTGCTGCGTGCTTCTGCTTTGTAACTTTTTCTTTCCACTCCTCAAATCTCCCTATGCATTATCTTGACCCCAAAGCAACCTTTTCTAGAGCTACTTTATGCTCGGTATCCAAGCTTGCTTGATTGTGATTCGGTTATAATAGAAAGCCACAACAGTAAAGAACATCATTTTTTTCTATTTCATTCCGACTCAGAGTCTTCAATGGTCAATTTAATCAAATATTCCATATTTTTGAACTTCTAGATATTCTTAATGGTTCTTCTGTTTTCACATTTGGCTTGTTGTTGACTCAAAATTATTTTCTACACTATTTTATATCTATTGAGCTCAAATAATGTATTATTTTACTTTGTATATCTTCCAAATAACATCCTGTTTGATGATACATTCATTAATTATGGCTAGTAAATATTGTGCAACCTTGTCTATTTTTATTAAAATTTTCAATTTACTCCCTTTGAGTGGTAAATGGAAAATCTAAAGAATTGATGCTTTGTTGCCTCATCTCTTTCGGTGGGTAGAAAGATAAAAGTCAAATCAAACCTTTTGACATTGAAGGAAATATCTTGTATGAGTATTATTTTGGTTCATTATCTTCACATTTGTCTACCTCTATTTGTTATGATACTATGTTTATTTTGAAGATTTTTGTGTAGATTGGTTGGGATGAACTTCAAGCCATGGTTGCGCTCTATATAAATAGTGATGTTCGTGTTCCATTGGATATGCAAGTTGGAAGGCCATTGAGTGGTTTTGTTCAGCGCCTTACAGGAAAGCAAGGTCGATTTCGGCAGAACTTAGCAGGGAAGCGAGTTGAGTTTACTGGAAGGACTGTTATATCACCAGACCCTAATCTTAAGATTACTGAGGTTAGGCATTATACTGAACTTCAAGGACTAACTGGCTGTTTAGTTGTTTAATTGGCTATATCATTTTGATGCTCTACTGGTCTAGGTAGCAATTCCCATCCATATGGCTCGTATCTTAACTTATCCTGAACGTGTTACTCATCACAATATGGAGAAGTTGAGGCAATGTGTCAATAACGGATCTTACAAATACCCGGGTGCAAGGATGGTCACATATCCAGATGGCTCATTAAAGTTTGTTCTCTTACTTTTGCCTTTTAATGGATGCCATTCTTTTTTGGTTAATTATGTGAATATATACTTTTTTCTGCAGGATGTTGACAGGTAATTACAGAAAGCGCATTGCTGAGGAACTTAAATCTGGTTGCATAGTTCACCGTCACTTGGAAGATGGGGATGTGGTTCTCTTCAACAGACAACCAAGCTTGCATCGGATGTCTATTATGTGCCATAGGGTGATTACGATTAATTTCAGAATAAAAAATTGTATCTAGTAAAATTCTTGTGTTATTTCACGCAGCTTCTTTGCTTTGTCCTTGCAGGCAAGAATTATGCCTTGGCGAACTTTGAGATTTAATGAATCTGTTTGCAACCCTTATAATGCCGATTTTGATGGTGATGAAATGAACTTGCATGTCCCACAAACAGAAGAGGCTCGGACGGAGGCTTTTATGTTGATGGGGGTGAGTTGTTTTAGATAAATAGATCTCAATGCCATGTATAGTTGTGTCCATGGAAACCTATCATGTGTTTATGTTCAACTTTAAATTTTAATTTTCTCATCTAATCTACATCAATGTGATAGCATTTTGGATTGCCACACAACTTGTTCATTCCTTTTGCTTTTCTTGTCAGATATTGCATGCTGTTCTATGAGATTTTTTATTTGTTCCCCAGGTGCAAAACAATTTGTGTACACCAAAAAATGGAGAGATCTTGGTGGCTTCAACCCAAGATTTTTTAACATCTTCCTTTCTCATAACAAGGAAGGACACTTTTTATGACCGTGCAGCTTTCTCTCATATGTGTTCTTACATCAATGACGGCATGGATCATGTTGATTTGCCAACACCTTCAGTACTTAAGGTTAGATACAAAACTTGCTTGCATATCTGTTGTAAAGTACTTATTTACTGTCAATCCCATGGCTGGCCAAAATTTAGGTTTCTCTCATTTTCATGTTCTGTTTTAATTTTGGGTTTTGTTTTTAATCATTCTTTTCAGTATTCTATGATTTGACTTGAGTGCCAAAAACCGTTATTATAGTTTATACTAGTTGTCAATCTTTGCAATCTTCTGTAAGGCTTGGGACCGGAGAAAGGCTTCATGTTTGGTAAAGTGGAGCTATGTAGAGCAATTTTAATGCTAAAACTTCACCATGAGGAACCAACATGCTAGTGCTACAAGAATTGCTCTCATCATATGTTAATGTCATGGGTTGTTGGAAACCTTGGTCTGTGGTGATTGTGGTATATATATTTTGTTTATTTATATTTTTACATGTACATTTATGTGCATGTAATTGGACATATTAGACAAAAACACATCACCATTGCAAGAAACCATAATAAAGTTTAAAAATTCTTGAAAATGTGCTTTAAAATTCTGTCTTTTTTTTTTTTTTTTAAAGGCTAAGGACAAATTAATCTCTTAACTATGGTTGATTCCGTGCTCAGAAAAAAGAATTTCCTTTCCCAGTGATGTGTCCGATTTATCCAAGGTTGCTCAATAAAATCTTGCCATCTCATATCATTATTAACTTGTAATAGAAAATATTTAAAACCTCCAAATGAATCCATTTTTATCAAAAAAAGGCTGAAAAATCTAATTTCTAATTGGTGTAACATATTGATTTTCATATTCTAAAGCATAAATGATACATTATAAATAATTCAACTTCTATTTTTATTTTTATTGGTTAAAAAATTTACTTAATGGATTTTGAATTTATTATGTATTTAAATCTATTTTCATTTTCATTATAGGCAAGTGTAGTGTCAATCTTGTACTTATTTTTCTATCAATTGTTTTTTATCAATTAATTTTGGATCTTATCAAAAGATCTTAGAAGTTTAAAGTATAAAATTAGTTTTGAATATGAATTATAGATGGAAATGTATGTTTTAGCAAAATAGTCAAATATTTTAGTGCTTAAAGTCCTTATAATGTACCAGAAACATGCAGTTTAGACAGAATACACTGATTGTATTCTATGGATATGGATGGTAAATAAAGAAACCAGATTGGGGATTTTTTTTTCTTGGGGTAGGGAATATACATATGTGCTATAGTTGCGAGACTGATACATCCTTTGGTTTTTTTATTTTTTATTTTTAAAGTTCTGTTGGATTTGGATCTTATTTAAAAGTTCTTTAATTGGATTAAATCTGGTATCACTATTTTCTAGAATCAAGATCCATCAAATTTGGGCCAAATTTGAACAGGTCGGAACTTGCTTTGAACCCATTTACAACTCTATTATAGCTTATTGATTTGAACTGAAAAGTGTTGAATGCTTGTGAGGTTGTTGGCCTAATTTGTCAGTGAGCAAGCCAATCTTTTCAGAACTGTGGTGTTAAGTCTTTGGTTAAGGTGGTCCAAGTTTTGTAGATCATGTTAAAGCACGCTCTAATGTGGCTACCAGTTTGCACATGGATTTGGTGTTTCAGACCATCTTTTTTTTTTTTTTTTTTTGGTGACCAAGCACCAGCGGTTCAATTCTTATCAGGCACATAAGTGAATTTCTGTAGTGTCTAGTGCTGATCTTTGGTGTAGTTGCGGTATTACGGCACTTCAGGTTTTGCTGTCCAAATATGCTTTTTTACAGTCATTTGGTACATTGGATAGTAGCTTCATTTGACCATTTTAATGGTTTGCAATGTTGTTTTATTGGAAGAAAATATTTTCAGTTGACCTTTCTGCACGTTAAATTCACATTGTTTGATTGTGTGGCCCCACTGTTGCACTACTTGCATTGTCATGGAGTCGATATCCCTATAAAATGAAAGTGATTTTAAATGAATCGGGTGTTGAAGAATTGTTTCACCCAACCAATGACATGCAAACTACAGTTCATTAATTCTTCCCTACGCTGTTGTAATATTGATCATCCTTCAGCGGTTTTTCTCTTTAAGACAATCTATACTTTATTGATTCTTCCCTAGGCTGTTGCAATACTGATCCTGCTTGATAGGATTTTTCCTTTAAGACAGCCTATATTATCTTTTGTTGACCATGGTCAATGTAATGCAGTTTGATTTAAAAGTAATGTTCATTACTTTTTTGTATCAATATTAGCATGAACGGTTATGGTTTAGAAATTAGATCGAACATTATATTTTATGGGTTCAAGTGTTGGAATTGGATGGATTAATTGATGTCCTTTTGTTTTGTTCTTGGTAGTCTATATTCTTGTTTCTACCTTTGAGATTAATGAAGTTATTGTTATGCAGCCAATAGAGCTTTGGACTGGCAAACAATTATTCAGTGTTCTATTGCGTCCACATGCAAATGTGAGAGTCTATGTAAATCTTAATGTGAAGGAGAAAAGCTATTCCAAACCCAACAAAGAACATAAAAGAGAGCGAGAAACAATGTGTCCTAATGATGGTTATGTTTACTTCCGTAATAGCGAGTTAATTTCCGGACAACTTGGGAAGGCTACTCTTGGTGAGATTTCTTTTTGGTGCATTTTAGATGCTAGGAAAAGGTTAATGCTTTGTATTGATAGTCCTATGCAGTTTCTTACTATGTTGCCATGCAGTTATGCTTCTCTCGTACCTGAGTTTCATATTGATGGCTATTCATCTATTCTTCATGTTTTAGAAAAATATACTATTTTTCAGTTGTACTAGGGTGTTAAGTGTTTGTGTTTTTCAAAATCCTTTTTGCTATTTTTTATCCCATTCAAATCATAAAAAAGGAATGGACAAATGGATCTGGTACTTCACCAAAATATGTTAGGAGTTATCTGTTGTGCAATCTCTGAGAAGAGAACAGAAAAGAAATATAGAAAAAGGAGTTGGATGGACATTCTATTGATATGAGTAAACTGTGAATATTTAGTTGTTATAAAATTAGTAGGTGTTGTTCATTTGTTTGTTTGTTTGTTTTTTTTTTTTCCTATTGAGTTCTGACATGTGCAAGCAGGTAGTTGTTGGTCCTTGAAAGTGAAAACATTTATGATGTTTCAATAGAACATCTTGAAATACTGAGACAGTTTATTCATCATCAATATTTTTAGTAAGCATGAAGAACTAAGGAATCTCTAAATGGCTGCAATGGAAACGAAAATTAGCAACCAAGTTCATTTATCTAAATTACTTGGCCTGAATACGAGGTATAAAATATATGAGTTGCAAAAATGTTCAACATCAATAAATTGTGTATGCCAAAACGGTATGGTCTAGGTAAAAACCATTGAAAGATTAATAGACTGTTCCTGCAAAGATTCCTTTCTTCCTTCTTCCACAAAACCCAGAATATTGCTAAGGATATACAACTCTGTCTATCATCTTGGCCTGTTCAAAAGCTTCACTGTCTCCAAGCATTTAAACTTATCCTGAAATTTTGTAGTTCAATGAAAACCCTCAATATCATACAAAACCAGTGCCAATAGTCTTCCAGTCGAAAGTACAATGTAAAAGTAAATGAATAATAGATGTTGTGATTTCACCCTCCAGCCTCTCCTCGTCCTGAATCATTGTATTGTAAACTACTTGGCAATTTTTTTTGGAAAGACACAACCTCCCAAGCTTGGACCCTTGCCAAAATCTATATTGCTTGAGGCACACAACATTTCCCTCTTTGGGAAGAAAAAAGTGAGCAAAGGTTTAAATGAAAAGTTCAAACTATTTGGTACTGAGTCACTCATCATAACAAACCAGGTCAACATTTTAGGTAGTAAGATCATATTCTTAACAAGCCTCTTTTACATGTTCTGCCTAACTAGCACTTGGTAAAATTAGTCTCGTATGATGGAACACAGGCAAACTTACATCGTGGAACAGATGGACATAATGCATACACAATAGAACATTCCATGGCATGGCATAATGCGAGCTACGAAACAACCTGGTGTAAAATTGTTTCCCAGACCATTTATGCTTTTCTCCTCAACTCTTGTCTGCTAACTCGGTAGGATTCTGACATTTACCTTGAAATTTCTTCTCACATGTGATTCTCGATCACAGGAAGGGTACCTACACTTGAATGACCCTTTGTTAACAATTTGAGTTATATGAGGACCATCTAGAGCTCCATTTGATAACGGGAAGATGCACTACATTGGAGTGTATTTTCTCACCTCACAACTTCTTATGTGAGAACTGGTAAAAGTCATTGAAGTTCACATCAGCTATTCATTCACTTATTCGGCCATTAGCTTTGATACTTGTTGGAGAGATTAACATTAGGGAGTTTCTTAGGTCATACTTTCCACAACCTTTTTCATGCCAAAACAGTATAGAATCTATTTTACTGATTGAAACTAACAAAAGTATAACATTGCTCCCATCCTTCTCTAATAGATTTGACAATGTGACAACTATAAGTGTCCCTTTATTCCCTTTGATCATCGCCTATGATGCAGTCCGTATCTATCCTTTGGGGACATTCTCCATAGATTATTTAATTTTCATTGAAAACCTTAACAACCAGATTCTGAGAAGGTGTTTGTTAAAGCATGTGGCTTTATTCTTGTTACTAAAAAAACCCCTGCCTTTTAAAAGTAAGCAATACAGCCTCAACTTGAGCATTCACTTCTTTGTATGTTGAATTTGTTTTTGTTATCTTGATAATTTTAATGCTGTTAGACTTTAGTTTCAATGCTTCTAAAACGAATACTATAGCACCCATGGAATATAATTTAGCAAGAAATAGGGGAGTTCAGAAATGAAATTTCAGCTAGTTAAACACCATATGGGCTTTTTTTGTTTGTTTAGAAAAGTGGAGACTAATGTTTAATCACTAGATGGATATACATTTCCTCCATTTCCCTGTTGAAGCTTGGCTGTACTTCCTTGACTCAATTGTTCAAGTAATAAAGCGTGGAACTGGAAACAATTACATCTAAGGAATTGGATGGTTGTTATGTTGTTTATAAGAGCGCATCTCCTCTACTTCCTTTCCACGTGTTTCTTTCAAATATCTTTTTTGCTATTAACTCTCACATTGTTTTCTAATGTAAGGTGGAACCTTCCACTTTCACAACCAAATTATTAACCAAGATGGAAAATTCCTTAAATTTTGACACTGGAAATTCATTCCTAACAGGACTATCTTTTCTCATTTTGTAGTCTGGCCATAAATTTCAACACTATATAAAATTAGCATTAGTCTTAAAGACATTAATCCTCTTAGCAGTTATAACCACTATGTGCATGTGCAATTTGCAACGTACAATGTACATATATCCTGCTACTTAAAAATGTATTCTGATTTAGAGTTTTGAGTAAAAGAAACATCCAATAAAAAACAGTTCCCAGATGTAAATTCATCAATGCATTTCAAATCATGTTTATGCTTTTTTAGTTTAAGCTCTAAGGTTAAGTCTGAATTACATGTTTCTCAATTAAATGCTGATTTGGCCTTTGTTTCTGTTTTTAATTAGCTTCATTTTGAATAGTAGGTCCAGACTGCTTCTCTTACTAATTGGATCACCGAGATAATGTACTGTTAAAGTAGGAATTTTGACCAACTTACAGGAAAATTGGCTGTAACGATGCAGACCAAAATTGATTTGTTTCTGAAATTTGTCAGTTAGGAGCTTTATTGTGATTTAAAGCACACTTTTGGCTGAAACTATGCTTATATTCTAATTTACCAACATTATTCAGTTCTCAATATGGATCTATGGATATGCTTCTTGCTTGAGACAAGCTATTTTACTTGAGTTGTATTAAAAAAAAAAAAACATGTGATAGTGATGCTTTTGTATTTAGTTATTTGCTTCTGGCATGTCAAGTTGCATGTTCTTATATTTGAGATGCTACTCCAGGTAACGGCAACAAGGATGGACTATATTCTATTCTTCTTAGAGACTACAATGCATATGCTGCTGCTACATGCATGAATCGACTAGCTAAATTGAGGTAACTACGTGCAAGTTCCCTTGGCAAATTCTTTTCGCTTCATTTTGGTTAATGCGCAATAGTATTTGATTTTTTTTTTTTTTTTTTGCCTGTTCAGCTGGATTCCTTATGCTTCATTTTAGTTGATGTGTATCCTTATTTGCTCATGAGGTATTTCTCATGTTCACACCTGGGAATTGCTATGTGATTTGTCATATGGGAAAATTCAAAATGTTTTGCCTTGCTATTCCTTTCCTGAATGGAAATTTTGCTTAACTTGATATTTTGAACTGCTGTCCCATTGGTTCTTCTAACTTGTACTATTCTTAAGTTATTCTAAACCTTTGATGTTGGACAGCTTCAAGAAATTTCCAACGGAAACTTAAACTGGACTACAGTTTAAAAAATATGAATATAACGGCTTGAAATTAGAAAGGTCTATTGGTTTTTGTCTTTTACTAATCTGGCTTAACAGCTAAGCGTTATTGGAGAGGCAGAGATAGAAAGATTTGTGGCAATATGCAATGTTTTTGAAATTGTATTGGGTTGGAGAGAAAGTCTGAGATTATTAGAAACTGATATCTGTCTGCTCAAATTTTGGAATCGGTAGTTTTCTTGCCATGCTTTGGCCTTCTTCTTTAGAGCTTCGAATTGAATTTCTTTGGCCCATAATCAATAAGATTGGGAAGTATTTTGTCTCAGAATTGTGTTTTTCTGTTTGATGGATGCCTCATTGTCTTATTTTTCTGTTCCTTTCTTGTCACAATAAGAAACAGCACATTGAGTAACATGCATAACCATCTTTGAAAGATCTAGAAACTATATGTCAGGATGGAGTAATCTTTTTGAAGTAATCACTAATCAAATGATATGTAGGATTTAGGTTACATAAATACAAACGCATCTACTTAGAGAAACCTAATACAGTTCTGACTTCTTGGTTGAATGTAGAATCACAAGATCATGTTTTAACCAGATGCAAGATGTCTTTCTATGGTTTCTAAAGCCATTTGATGTCCATCAATATTGAACCTTTTGATTTTACTATCAACTGATGCAAATCCTTTCTTGAACATTGATAAATTCTAATGACAATATATTTTTCTTTCAGCTATTTATGTAAATAACTCTGTTATTTTAAAGTCTAGGAAGAAGTTGAGTGTAAACCCTTTAGTTTGATCTGTGCATTGATAATATAGCACAGTGACCATTTCGTGAGGTCTACTATATCAAAAACACTTCTACCTGTGACTGGCAATTGGTAATGGTGTTTTTAATTTCTGATATTGTTTAATTTGATTGTTTAATTTTCTTCAGCTTTATTAGAATATGAAGTTAGAGTTCTTGCTACTGTTGGTAGTTCTCTATGCAGTGACTGCAATCTTGATTGATCTCATCTTGTTTATTAGTGGTAGTTAGTGTGATGAAAAATTGATGCCCTTTTTTTCCCTCTCTCTCTTAGGGCAATGTTATGCTTGCTGTTTTCCCACCTATTTTACATGCAATTCCATGTGCCTTTATATTTTGTGTTCAAAAGAAAAAATGAAATTGTCAGCAATATTTGCCCATTGTCTCATCTAGTTTGCTAGTGGCTAACGCCATCACAAATTGCCATGTGAGTAGTAACGGCATTATGTTATCTGTTTGGCTAATTACATTATATCTGCCTGAATGCAGTGCTCGCTGGATAGGAAATCATGGCTTCTCAATTGGGATTGACGATGTCCAACCAGGAAAAAGATTGATTGATGAGAAAGGGAAAACAATTTCAAATGGTTATCGACATTGTAATAAACTAATAGCTGATTACAATGGAGGAAGGCTTGCGCTTAAACCTGGTTGTGATGCCACTCAAACACTAGAAGCTGAAATTACTGAGAGATTAAATAAGCTTCGAGAGGAAGCTGGGGATGTAAGGATCTGACATTAGATTAAATTTTAGTATTGTGAATGAGTTCATTGCTCTCTGGCAGGGTATTTTAATTGCTTTGGTTACTTAGAGTATTTACTCAAGTATTGTTGACCGATGACATGGCCTTGGGTTTGAAATGTAGTCAATGAAAGATTCTGATGTTGTTTTGTTCTTAAAGTCAATTCTTCCATGTTGCAAGCCTTCAAGTTGACCTTTTGTTCATTGACGAAGTACTTCGTGGCACTTACTTGATTTTATTCAAACAGGTATGCATGAAAGAATTGCATTGGAGGAACAGTCCATTGATCATGTCACAGTGTGGATCCAAGGGTTCCCCTATCAATATTAGCCAGATGATTGCTTGTGTTGGTCAGCAGTCAGTTGGAGGTTCCCGTGCACCTGATGGATTCATAGATCGAAGTCTCCCGCATTTCCCTAGGAAATCCAAGACTCCTGCCGTAAGTAGAATAGCTCTTTTTGGCTTTTATTCTGGTTCAAAAACTCAATCGCACAGTGGCATAATCACCATCTACCAAACTCTAGCATACAGCAATATACTTACTATTTTGCAGTGATTGATACTATTCCTTAGGATAGGATATCTAAACTGTATATAATGAGCTATTGTTTAAAAATGGGAATTCAAATGCTTGTATGGTCACATATATGGCTTCAGATGCCTGAAGCGTCTTGAAGTAAGTGTGGTAACAGTGATGTGCCATGGACTAGTTTGCTCAGGGTTGTCGTTCTGCCTAAAATACTCATGTTGATTGACATAAAGGAATGGGAGCAAAATCTGAGTGACATCACAAAATATTTTGGACATACCAGCTTTGTGGAACAGACTTCTTTATTGAGAGAGCTTTGTCTCTCTGTCTCTTCTTTATCTACAACAGTCGCAAAGTAGTTGGCTTTGTCCAGAGTGGTGGATTTTTTTCCCCCCATCTTGGCTTCTGTGTATTGTGTTCAATAAATGCAGCTGGCATCTACTGGTTTGTTAGAATTTATTTTTTACTTAGTCATGTTAATGGCAGTAATTCATAGTATAAAATCAATTCAACCTTGACCATATCCAACTCCTGGGGCATGTTCAGATTTTCTATGTTTTGTATTTTTGGCAAGTTAGATCCTTGGCTTTGTGCTTGAATTAGGTATGAATACAATGTCCATGTTATAGATCTTAAAAGTTCCGACGTGGTTTCTATTATCCAAAAGCATCTTAGTTTGCCATACTTATGCCATTGCAGTGTGCTGTCACTGAATTTGTGGTTGAATGTAAAAGCCTTCAGTTTTATTGGCCGGTTAACATCATACTCAGGAGACGTGCTCAGGTTAACGCTTGAGATGCCCTTAAAATTGTGGGCTGTTAGAGACTAGTATAAATTATATTCTAGGGCCTCACCTATCAGCTTAAGCTTTTAGGTGAGATGGTCCTTTAATATGGTATCGAGCTTGGTTGATCTTGAGGTCCCGAGTTCAAGTCTCACTATCCTCAATTTCTCAAATATTAAGCACAAGGCAATGTAGACCTGTGCAAGTTTCATGCCCCAAATGTTGGGCCTTTCACTTGAGGGGGTGTGTTAGAGACTAGTATAAATTATATTCTAGGGCCTCACCTATCAGCTTAAGCTTTTAGGTGAGATGGTTTTTTAATATGGGCATTCAGTTGTGATTGTTATATGCTAGTCCAAGTACAGCAAAGCCAACCAAAGGACTAACTTATTTATTTTTTTGCTAGAATTTATGCATGCTATTAGGTTCTTTCTTTGGGAAGAAAACCCAGTTATTTATATGAATGCTGTATTTTTGTAGCCAATGTCTGATCTAACATTTGAAGATTCTGTGGTGTTGTTTTTGTGTCCGGGTTAAGTTGGAGGTTGCAGTAGGTTGACAAGTTGTCTAAACATAACTTGTCCTTTTATTTTTTATGTAGTTTGAAGGGGGAAAAACATCCTTGCAGCCAATGCCTGCTGGCTTGAAATTCAGATTTAGTTGGGTTGAGTTGAGCGAGCAAAGCATATACACCTGTATTTTTATGCCAATATGCCATCTGTGTTCTCAGAAAGTTGTCTGGGTTTAATATTCTTGATCTAAAAAGGATCTTTCTTATTTGTATATGTTATTTAGTCAATGTATGATATAATGTTGGCAGATTCAGCATTGTTGATTTTGAGCCTGCATTGAGTTGGAGGGTCACTGCAGGTTGAAAACTTGTCTAAATATGCTGTCCTTTTCTTTTACATGTATTTTGAAGGAAAAAGAACTATCCATGAAGCCACCCTTTCTAGCTTGGAATTGAGATTTATTTCAATTGAGGCGAGCATGGAGTGTTATACTTAATATTTTTATGCCCTCATGCCATCTATATGCTCAGGAAGTCCTGATTTAATATTCCTAACTTTGAAAAGGCTCTCTCTTTTTTATATATTTTCTTGATAGGGAATTCCAATTCAATTATTACCAAAGATTATTGTGATTAGGTTATTTAATGATAAGTAATTTGAATGAACTCATTGACTAGTCATTGAGATTGATGAAATAAGTGGAATTATTTACTCTGTCGCATATAACTGCCCTCGAAAGAGTTTGCTGTCAACTCTATCAATGTCTTTAGTAGAACTTGTTTTGGATTTTGTTTGAAAATTGTGAAATGGAAGTTCTATCTCTATATGTTATTGTTACTAACATATTTGAATGCGTACTGGACTTAGATCCTGAGTCTCTAACTAGTAGCTTAAAGAGAAGCTTTGTCATTTGGCTCAAGCATATACTACCCACACCACACCACAACACCCCACCCCCCACCCCCCCCCCCCCCCCGGCCCTTTTTTTTTTTTTTTTGAATCAAGAACTTCTGAAGCAAATAAGATATTGAAATCTTTTTGTGCAGGCTAAAGGTTTTGTTGCGAATTCGTTTTATAGTGGTTTGTCGGCAACTGAGTTTTTCTTCCATACCATGGGTGGGAGAGAAGGACTGGTGGATACGGCGGTATGCATGATCCTTTTTCCTTTTGCTAGTTATCTATTTAAGATTTAAATACGTTTTAATTATTTTATCCTTTTGGTTTCATTGCTTCTTTGTTGTCACCCCCTCTTAATTAGTTGCTTATAGAAAGTGGAAGTCATACTTATATATTAATTTGAAACTTAATTTGATGCTTTTAGAATATAAATTGTGGATAATGTTTGGGCTCTTTTTTTCTTGGAAAAAGAAGAATGTGTTGGATTAATCACAAAGTTAATATGAAAAAGTGGTGGCCAGTTTGTGTAAACGAGAGATATAAATATCATTCATGGTCCACCCCCAACATTCTTTAGTTATTATTAATTTTTTCTTATATGCTTGACCTGAAGCATGGTTTCTTGATGTTGCTCCTAGTTTTGTTCTTTTTCCTTTTCAGTCTTCTGTCCTATGTTTTCTGGAGTCACCCTGTTAACTAGAATCAAAGTTTTGAATAAAATCTAGTTGCCTAACAAAATTTCCCATGGTAATTTGACTATAAATTCTGCTTTAGTTCTCTTCCAAAAATATTCTTTTTTACTAGGTGTTGACTTAATAATAATATAAATTTACTATTATTCATTATGCTTTTGGAATTTCATGACTTTTATGAAAAAAGCTTTTCTCATATCAATGGGAAGGGCGAAATAAATATTTTTGTGTTAGTTTCCATGTCTCTGTAGTGTTGACCAGTTAATGGTGAACCTGAGGCCCTACCAATTGCCATATGTCAAAATAACATGGACAATGGTGTGGCAGGGTGAGCTGTGGGTTTGAGACCAGAAGAAAGATGGGATTGTCTTGAGATTTGGAACATGTTCTTATGAAATTTTTATTACTTAAGGTGAAAACAGCTGAGACTGGGTACATGGCCCGTAGACTGAGCAAAGGATTGGAGGACTTGTGTGTTCAATATGATAACACAGTGCAAGATGCAGGTGGATGCATTGTTCAATTTCTTTATGGAGATGATGGCTTGGATCCTGCTAAGATGGAAGGAAAAGCTGGTGCTCCTTTGAATTTTGATAGATTGCTCATGAAAGTTAAGGTTTGTAGCTGTGCTTCTTATTTCCTGTGGATTTCCCATGATTGCTGTGAAATTTGATAAAGTGGTATTGATTAATTTTCTACATGCAGGCCACCTGTGGTGCTGAAGAAGATGAGTACCTATCTCCTTCAGATATCTCAATGTTTGTTCAAAGTTTGCTACTAAAGCATGATGGGACTCTTAACGGAATTTGTTCCGAATCCTTCAGAAAAAGTCTCAGTTCTTTTCTAGAGGATCAAGCTAATAGACTGGAATCTACGATGAAATTGATTGATGGTGTTGAGGTAGAGAATTTTGAGAATACAAAAAATGTTGAAGGGCTCACAGGAATTTCTAAGAATACAGAAAAAACTGCCCAGAAGGTCTCTGGTATTACCAAAAAGCAGATGGAGGTAAGCATTGTTGTTTCATAAATGAACTGATTGATACCTTTGCCTTCGTGTTTTAAATTTATCATTGTTTTTTCCTTTGCGGTAATGGTCTCTTTCATTCTGGTGTCATGGTGTTATAATACCATATGGAACAGTAGAAGCTGAAGGGATATAAATTAATTTTCCGAGAGTGTTTTATGTTTTCAAATGCTTTATTCATTTTAGCTAATGGGGGTAAAAAATCAGGCAAAGAAAAATTAATCAGCCTCCACAACCAGAAGGAAGATCACATGCTACATGTTGGTCCAATCTGGAATTGGGTGCATGATGAACTTTCACTGCAAGGAATGTTTAGTTTTTGATCTAAGAAATTCCTTAATTAAAATTTGGTTTTCCTCATTGTTGAAAAAATAATTGGAATTTTAAACGTAAATGGATAACGATGTTGAGAATTTCTAGTTGCTTAATGGGCAAGTATAAAAAGTCATTTGTCAGATACTGGTCGTGGGTGTTGAGAATTAAAAAAAAAAAAAAGATGCGTGCTTGAAGATGCTTGCTGAATAGAAGCATAAACTATTATAGGAAACTGGTATTTCGCATCTGTGGACAACAAGTGGCTAGGATTTTTTATTCACCAAATAAGTTCGCTCGCCAAGATTTGTTAGTGCTAATACTACTAGCAAGAGATTTATAATCTCAGAATAAAAAAAGTTTTCAGATTAAATTCCTAGTGGTAAAAAGTCATAGTTCGAGCAAAGAATGCTGAACTAGTTGGACTTTTTGCTTCTTTCTTATTCAGTTTCGTATGCTAGAAATGTGGTTAGGCCCATTTAGAAATTGATCAAAAATATGATTAAACTATCCATACATGAAAACAAACAGTTTTCTAGAAGGGAATACTCTACAGTGTGTAAATCAATCCCTTTGCTGATTTAATGAAATGGTTTGATTTATAAATGTTAGTTTCTGCTGTATGATTTGTTTGCAATTTTTTTTTTCTTTTTACTCTGTATTGTATGAGTTTTTAAGACTACAACAGGTATTTATTGTTTCTCTTTAAAGAGTGTTAATTTAAATAAATCTTAGGTTTTTCTGAAAACCTGCCTTGACCGTCATCTCTGGAAAAGAATTGAACCTGGAACTGCAATTGGAGCAATTGGAGCTCAAAGTATTGGAGAACCAGGAACTCAAATGACATTAAAGACCTTTCACTTTGCTGGAGTTGCGAGCATGAGTATCCTTGCTAATTGCACTTCTTTGATGGGCAATTGACACGTTATCTTGTTACCTCTTAGGACTCTGGCTATCATTTTGTTTTAAGTTGATTTCTTAGCATTATTTTAGATATAACACAGGGAGTTCCTCGTATTAAAGAAATAATAAATGGTGCCAAAAGGATCAGCACACCTGTCATTACGGTAGAACTCGAGCACAATAGCAATGTGAATGCTGCTCGAATCATAAAAGGCCGCATCCAGAAAACTGTTCTAGGCCAGGTATGGAATTAAATTCATTGTCAAATTTAATATCTGCCTTCTTGTTGGGTTTGAATCTTTGAGATAATTTTCACTTGTCTCTGATTAGTTATTGTAGGTTCAATCACTAGTGATCTCGGCATGTACTTTCTTTTGGCCTCAGTAGTTGTACCTCCATTCATCCAATTTTTCCTGAACCCAGAACCTTTTTGCACCATTGTTCTCTGTTCAACTTCATAAAATTCTTATAAATGTATTTATAGTTTATCGGTTCTTCAGATTTCTAATTAAGCATGTTGTTCAAATTTCTATTAAGTTAGTTTGGTTCCTGATCTTGTCTTGCAGGTTGCGAAAAGCATCAAAATTGTAATGACTTCAAGATCAGCATCAGTAAAGGTTACACTTGACATGAAAACAATTCGAGAGGCACAATTATCCCTGGATGCTTACATTGTAAGAGAATTGATTTTAGAAACTCCAAAGGTTAAACGGAAGGTGCAGGTGAGAATTTTTCATGTGGTAGTTTTTAGCGTTTGTAAAGCTATACATTTTAATCTCCCCATGGCAATGTTAAACTGCAGCGTATCAATGTTTTAGAAGATGGAAAGTTGGAAGTTTTTCCAGTTGGTGACAGAAACAAACTTCATTTTGAACTCCATGCTCTTAAAAATATGCTTCCGACAGTTGTAGTAAAGGTGAGATTTATAGAATTGTTGATGTTACTGATATGGTGAATTCTGCATTTTTTTTTTTTTTCATGTGGTCGTAACTTTTAGGAGTAGATGTGTAATTACCGTGTTGTCTTTGGATGGTAGGGCATAAAAACAGTTGAACGTGTTGTTATTGCCCAGAAGAAACTTGATGATGCAGGGAATGATCGAGGGGCCCCGAAATACAACATGTTTGTAGAAGGGTGAGTTTGCTACAACTACTTTTGTCTTTTTTTCCAATCATTTACTTAAGCTGTGGCATATACTTTTGTGGTAAAATCCTTTTGTGCTACTTTAACTTAATGCCATTATATAGAACATGCTCATAAAAGGTTGTAAAATATGTTAAGCTATTTAGATTTGGGTTATTAGAGCTTCCAGCCTAAAAGTCTAAGCTATTTTGGAGAGAAACTCACACATGCCTTAACTAAGATGGTATATATTTTCACGTGTCTTAATAGTTCGGTGATGAGAAGGAAAGTGCTGCCACGTATCACTTCGTCTGAACTGAAGTAACCCATGGGTTGGACTTCAGGAAATACAAAGAATGATTTTGGAAAGAAGGATGCTGATGTGAAAAATGTAGAAGCAAGTATGGCAAACAAACCCTAGAAATCCTTGACCATAGGGGTTCCTTGAATTCACAATGAGACTTTCAATCTTACTGGAATCACTCAGAAGGGAATATATTTTTTTCCCTAAGCAAAATAGGAAAGAAGAAAATTAACTTGTAAAACATTACACAATTCCTACATGATGCTGAAATTTCTTCATCAATAAATTGCAGAAATGCAGAGTAGTTATTAATAGTCTTCGCCCATGGTTGCATAACTCTCCCTCGTCTAGAGAAAACTTTAAGTGCTCTAATTTTGGAATGTAAACATCCTCATTCTTGACCGTGAGTAAACCTCAACTGCACCTGGAAGCAGGATAACGCAATGCACTTTGGCCATATTTAGAGAAATTTTGGGTACAATAAGATTAACCATCAGCACAGTTGCTCAGTGTTCTCATTTGTGATACTGAGTATGCTATCCACTCAATTCTCCATTTTGCTCATCTCGTTGACTCATTATCTTAATTGCACCATTTAATCTTGCTTCTAGGCATTTAGCAACTCATATTATTGATTGTGAAAATGCAAGTACCTGGATGTTTACTCATGATTAGTCCAAAAGACTTTGAGAAGAAAAATTTGAATCCATAGGATGGCAGCAGGCAATAGAGTAGAATGTTTTAGGGTATACTGCATGACATTCTGATCAAGAAGTATAAATTGATGGTTTCTTGAATCAATCATGACTGTAACATGTTGCATATTATGGAAGTGAGATTTCTTATATTTGATAGATTGTTATAAGTTCTCCTTTCATAATGTTTGATAATGTCTTGTAAATCTGTTTAGCACCGGTCTTCAAGCTGTTATGGGGACTGAAGGTGTTGATGGTCGCAAAACAAAAAGTAATCATGTCATAGAAGTTCAGCAAACTCTTGGAATTGAGGCTGCAAGAAAGTGTATCATTGATGAGATCAAAGGGACCATGGAAAGTCATGGAATGAGCATAGACATACGTCATATGATGCTTTTAGCAGATGTGATGACTTCCAAGGTGAGTGATTCTTTAACATTTTGTTATTTTTAATTTTAATTAAAAGTGCTTCCAACAGATTTGAGCTCTGTTAATTTTATAAAAGGGTGATGTCCTTGGAATCACAAGATTTGGCGTTCAAAAGATGGACAAAAGTGTGTTGATGTTGGCTTCGTTTGAAAAAACATCCGATCACCTCTTTAATGCTTCTGTAAAAGGAAAGGATGACAAGATTCAGGGAGTAAGTGAATGCATCATAATGGGCATCCCAGTTGCAATAGGGACCGGTGTACTCAAAATTCAGCAAAGGTAAGCATGCAATATATAGTTTAAAATTGTGGAATGCCATGTTTTTGTGCTATTGATGTTTCGGCCTTGATTTTGCAAGTATTTATGTTATGTGCAAAGCTGGTTTTTTGTAAGTTATGTGCATTGCTTATTTTATGTCTATGATGGAATTGAAGAAAATAGTCATTTTTGAGCTCAAAAGTAATGGCGTACAGTGAGTTAAGTTTTTTAAGAATTCTTATTTTAGGAAGAAATATAAAGTTTAATTTTTCTTATTAAATTAGGACTATTCAGTAGGTCTTGCCTATTTCTATTTGGATTAGATTTTTGGTTAGTTTTAGTTTTCCTATTATTATTAGAATTTTGCTTTTCCTATTTCTATTTGGTTTGGTGTCTATGAATCACACCATATGTAGGAGGAATTAGCTCTGTGTTCCTTATAATTTAAGGGTTGTCTCCAATATGTCCTTTCATTCTAATTGCAGCCAATGTATCCAGTAGATCGTTCGTTAAAATTTTTCATCTGAACTAACAGATTTTGTTACGTCAATTTACATGACCCATAAATAGCTACTTTATGGAAGAACTAACCTTCTAATTTGTGACCAAATCAAAATAGAAAATAAGCCAAAAACCACCAAGACTAACCTTACCGTCCACTCAAATCCTCAAGAACAAAATTGCCTCCACCACCTCCCACTTCACCGCTATTCAAATTCTCAAGAACCAGATCTGAGTCTACAATAGAACAAATTGTATCCTCACCCATTGATGCATTTTTTTGTGCTGCTTACTCAACTTTAGCCGCTGCAATGGAACAAGACCCATATGACTTGGATCTGGAGGTGTATCTGAATTTGTATATGACAAGAACCGAGTGGATGTTGTGTGATTAATGTTGAATATTAAACTATTTGTTGGTTCTTTTCCATCTCTTTGTTACCTCATTCGCTAAACACAAAATCTTTTTCACTTTTTTTCTTAAAAAAATTATCGAAATAATTATCTGCTTTATTTATTGTTACTTAATCACAAATGTTTAATGGAAGGAATTTTTATGTTTTTCCAGAGTTTGAACTTTGAATTGGTTTATTATAAAGCGAGTAAAAAGAACTGTGTTTTAGTAATTTCGAGAAAATTAAAACTATTTGTAAATGGGGACAAATAAAAAATTATTTTTATTGTTATGGACTAGTGAGGGTAATTTAGTCTGAAATTAGTTACTGGTCACATGCAAGTCACATGTCAAACATCTCTTAGTTTGGTAAAAAATTTAACAGAATGATCTATTGGATATTGTCTATATTCTAGGACATACGAGCTATATCTAGGCATGTTAGGACATATTGAAGAGAAAGTGTAAGGATATGTAAAGATAATCCCCCCATGCCTGACATTCAAGTTATGCTATGACTATGGACAATGAAATTATTTGAGTTTCAGAGCATTGGTTCTCTTGATTTCTGTTCTTGTTTGTGGTTCTATGTCACGCACTTTGTAAGTTTGAGTGGAATTGGTGTTTGTTCTGTTACATGTAGGGTAATGATGGATCTAAAATTGGAGCCTGCTGTTCCCAATTCCCCCACCATGTTCACTTAGTTTCACTTTTCTGTTTGCATTTCTGGTGTTGGTCTGGTTCCTTTATATTATTTATTCAGCACCTAGCACATCAGATTTTTACTGCAAGTTATTGTTTAAAGGCTACAACTCCAATACTGTACTACTGAGTTTTCTGCATAATCCCACCAAATAATGCCATATGTCCATTTTGCCACATAGATAAAACAGCCGGTTACTGCCATCTTCTCTGTCTCCTCTTGTAAATACAATCTCTGCCCTCTCCCTTTAAAACCGGAACTCAATAACCATCATCATATCTCCAAATTAGAAATGTTATTAAAGATCCTTAAAAAGACAGTCATAAATTAAAGTAAAAATTGCTTGGGAATTGACCCAGTGATATAGGACAGATTTGAGATTTCTTTTCTACAAAGGATTTGAGGTGAGCCAGGATTTATTGTTTGTGAAATTAGGGTAGACTAGAGCTTGTTTAGGAAGAAATCAGGTGGTGAACAGTAATTTCAACATTTAAACGAGTAAATATGTTTGTGAGCCAGGCAGAAAAGTTATAGATGATAGATAATGGAGTGAGATATAATGTTAACCGGGTATCACATTTTAATTATCTGATTTGGCAAAATGACATATGACACATTTTAGTCTGGGGATGTACTGAAAACTTAGTACTGAAGTACTGGAGTTTTAGCCTTACTTGCTGCTTCATTGGTTAGGGGATCTAATTTCAACATTTAAATAAGTTTGTGTGATTAGTGAAATACCAAGGATTTATTCGTTCAGCTACCTCTAGTTTTTTGAGTATTTTGCTGCCTTTATCCTTACTATCTGCATGCGTAAATGAACACTTGATCGCCTGTAAATTTCTGATAAATCTTTACACATAAAGTTCTCTTACATTTTACATCTATGATCACAATATTCAAGACGTGCTATCTTGTCATTGTAGTACCTGGAAAATATAAATGAACACTTCATTACCTAAATATTTCTGACAAATCTTGCATAGAAATGCCTTGTTTCTTATATCGATGGTCAAAATGTTTTAAGGTATACTAGATTGTTTATTGTTTTGTTTTGTGTACTTATTTTTTTTATTGCACTACCGCATTAATCATTATGCACAGGGAAGCAGAATTGTTACCCATGCATTGTTGATATATGTGTGTGTGCTCCAGTAAACAAATGAGTTTGATCAGTGAATTTGAGAGAGCTTTCTCATTTATCAACGGCTTTTTCTTGTATTATTGCTCCTTTTGTCATCTTTCTTCATTTTTTACTGCATTAGAGGTCTGTAGTGTGGCATTGTTGTCATTGACTAGGTTCGTATTCTAGCATCTAAACTGTGTATGGTTTGAGGGGTTTTGAAGTCAACAGAAGGGAAAGGTAGGGAGGATCATTTATAATTTTGCCTCAAGGAAAGCTAAGTTCTCATCTATGATGCAAGTGTTGCTCGTGTTATAAGGGTGTAAATCAAAATTCAAAACTAAGAGAGTTATTTGTAAAATCCAAATGACCTATTTTAGAGGAGATTTATGCTGTTTAAGCATTTAGAGGGGAACTAAGAAACCTGCCTATCTGCATGCTTTAAATTCAGTTGTCACCTTCATTGAAATTTGCTTATATGTTAGTGCTTAAAACAGTTTCTGAGTCGGGGGAGGATTTTCTTAAGCTTATATGTGCCAAATGCAGCGAATCACTTGAGAAGAGTCTTACCTATTTGTACTTTTCTCTATTCAGAGTTGATGTGCCTCCGATGTTGGATTACAGATTCAATCCTATCATCTCCTAAAAGTCATCAAGACATCATGTTTATGGAGCTATAAATGCAAAATTTCCAGTTAGCTTGGTGCACATGCTTCACTTTCACTTCTTGAAGGTTAGAGATGCACATGGAAACCAAACATCCTCCACCTCTCTACTGTCCTCCTCCGTTGGATTTATTTATTTATTTTATATCTATATCTATATTTACTATATACTATCTATACAATACTATACTATATAAAGAGGCAGAGTTAGGGGGCTAAATTATGTCCCATTTATTTTGATTGTACGTGACTGCCAAAACATAATAATTATAATGCCTTAAAGTAGCCATAGCAAATCCCTGCAAAACATATATAAAAGATTGAATCAGAGGGTAAATATTTGAGTGACCCTCTTTTTTTTTTTTTTTTTTTTTTATCGTCAATTCGTAGCTTGTTTTTTTATTCTTCTGTTATATGTAATTTTTTCTTGCTGTTGATAAATTTAGAATCCTGAAATAATTAAAACTGAAAAAAAAGGGAATTTTTTAAAACTAAATCACTTTTTATTAATAGGATTAAATTAGTGGCTATAAAAATAGTAGACTACAAACGCATTTTAGACTCACTAAATCACCATAAACCTCCTTTTTTTTTATTTAATTTAAATCCAGTTTTTATAAATAATGGGGCTGGATGAAAGTAGTGGCCACGTGTTAGTTTGCTTACAGTTTTAGCCACGACGTAATGAGCGGGTGGCCCTTCTCTCTCTCTCTCTCTCTCTCTCTCTGTCTCTCAAATGAAATAAAATCGGCATAAAAACTCTGAGTACATTATTTAATGTGATAAAAGTTGTTTAATTTTAAAATTCTTGAAGAAATTAGAAACTAAAGCCGGGCTTTGAAAGACACAAGAATTAAATGAATTTCCTCTTTCTTTTCCTCTACTTCTCTATTTTTGAAATCGAAAAATATAAATGTTTTCAAAGAAGTTAGGAACAACAATAGGGCAAGTTTGACTCCTTTAGTCTCCCTAGTTTTTTTTTTTTTTTTTTTTTTTTTTTTTTGCATAGATAGATCTATAGTTTAGTAGAGTAAATTATACATTATTTAGTAATTTTAACTATTATTGATCACAATTAATTTCATATTTTACAATTTTTTTTCTCATCAATTTTTTATTTTCTCTTATTTATTTTATTTTTTTCTATTTCTAAAAATAAAAAATTTTAAAAAAATAAAAATAAGAAAAAATTGAATAATTGATTTTTGAAACTAGAGGGATTAATTAATTTGTTTGTCGAAGTGAGGGATTAATTTATAGTTTACTCTAGTTTAGTATTAGCGGTAGTCAGGGATTAATGGTTAGTAGGGCAGGCATAAAGGATGGTTGGGCTAATCTGGCACCATCACTACATAAATAGAAAGACCTAACAAGAAGAATTCAAGGACTATTGTGGCACCTATCAAATCTGTGAGGCTAAACAATTTGATTTTCCATGCTTTTAGACTGTCCATGCCCTTCGTTGGGCTAAAAGCATGCATCCAAACTTTAACCTGTTGCACAAAGCAAGAGGCCATGTACCGCTTGGTTACAAAGTCCTTTGTTCGCCACGTAGTTAATAGAATACGATGACCGATTCTGACTTTTAATATGGCTAATTTTAGGAGTAATGTTGAACACTAAAAAAAAAGAGAGAGAGAGAGATAATTGCACTACAAGTATAATATCTTTTAATTTTTTTTCTCAATTGAGTATATGAATTTTATTTAAATACATTGATTTTTTCAAAACTCGTTAATCATATACTTCCCCTCAAATGTTGGCGAGTAATAAATTTTTTAGACAAAAAATCCCATGTTTGTGTTCTTTCATTTGTCACTTTTAAACCTATTTAATTTTTTTTAATAGCAAACTTAACTAAATTTAGTTTGGGATTTTATTGCTAAAAAAATAATATTTTTTAAAATTCTTTGTCAAATTTTGAAATAGTGCATTAATTCAGGAGGAACGTTCCCTCCAACAACAAAAGGATAAAATTATAATTTAGTATTATAGATGTAATGAATACTTCATGAGTTAATGAAACAAATTAACATAAGTATTTAATCGATAGTTTTGAAAAAAAAATGGGCACTAAAAAAAATTAAAGTCCATGAATTCAATTGAGAAAAAAGGGAGGCAAATTTATAATTTGGTATTTTAGGAGTACGTGACATGTCATCGATTAATAGAGAAATTGATGGAAATACTTGATTGATAGTTTTAAAAAAATCAAGTATACTCAAATAATTAAAATTAAAGTTTATCCACTCTTTTGAAAAAAAAAAAAAAGTTTGTGTATTTATAGTGCAATTATCTAAAAAAAAATTAAGAATACACATGAATCATTGGATCATGATTTTAAAATGAAATCTAATTGTAAGTCTCTCTATTGTTCCAAGTATATTCATAGAATTTTTTCTTGCCATATTTTTTTTCTAACGTTTAGTATTATTCAAAAGACGTTGCCCTCAATGCTAAGGATATGATGAGTAGGAAAAAAGTGGCCTCTTTTGACAATATGTTTGGGAGAACATCTATTGTACATGAATGCATGGTCCAACATTTCAACAAGCCAACTGAGCAACCCTAAATCATTGCAATAGATTTCATAAAATGACATAACATTATGTTGAGGTGCTTCAATTTAAGTAGTTAGTCAAAAATTTCAACATGCTCTAAAGGTTGTGCAGTGATAACATTTAATGCTTTAGGAAATTGAGACCATTTTTTTTTTCCGGTATAGAAGAAAATAGAACATACAACTAGGCTCTAAAGAAAGAGATCCCAATAACATCACTAAAAATAATATCCGAAAGACCCGATTGAGGATGGTGTCAAAACTGTAACATCATATCACTATAAGAGGTAGTTTTAGTTAAGAAGTCAGCTCTATAATTGTTTTCCCTCAAAGTATGATTAAATGATATTATCCACTGATACTGACAAAGGTAATGAATATCAAAGAAGATGTTATAACAGCGATGCGAAGATGATACCCTTTTTCTAGTAGCATGAACTATTTTTTAAGAATTAGTTTCCATCTCCTCTTTCTTGTACCCCATATCCCAAGCAATAATTAGCTCCTGATGATCAACTTTCATCTCTGCAAGCATAATGAAAGAGTGACCCAGAAAACTTGAGAAACCTACAATCCACGCCTCATAAGAATTTCGAAGAAGGAGCAAGATAACTGTCATCCGTGTTAAATTTGATCGGATCTAATAGAGGAGG